TGTGTGTGTGTGCAGAAAGAGGAGACAAAAAAAAATGAGAATTGTTTGAATTGGCTCTACTTCTTCCCACCTGAGCCCTTTTTCGCCGTGGGAGCAGAAGTGGTACTAGTCGTGGTGGCGGTGGTGGTGGTGGTGGTGGTGGCGGTGGCATTCTTCACCGTGGAAGGAGCATTGGTCGAATCCTCGGCAGCCTTGATAAAGGCAGCCACGCAGTCCTTCGGATTAGCTAATGCCTGAGCTGGTGGCATTCGCTCATTGATCTTGTCAATCGCCTTGGCCTCAGCAAAAGAGCTGATTTTAGCATGAGGCGCCAATGCAGCTGCAGAAGGCGGTAACAAAGTGCACTTCAATACACTCCTTCAAAGGCTAACTGCAAATTCCAACCTCATCCGCACACCCCATAAGAACAATCCCATTAGAAGTTCTTCCATCGAAGAGAAGGACAATGAGTGGCTCTACTATGTTGTGACAAAAGTCCACAAGTTTGGACATCACTACTGTCTTCCCCTTACCCTTTCTCTCCCTCTCTCCTTACTCCAAAGGCAGTTAAAACGCTTACAAATTTCCCTCCAGACAGCAAAATTAATACTGTCTGGACGTGATTAAATGATCCTTTTTCGCCCTCTCCAAAGCGTGTACACTTGAGAGGCTTAAAAATCCAAAAAAAAAAAATTATAAATAATAACAATAACGTTCTACAAGAATTTACGTGATTATGCAGCCACCTTTTCCGCCTTACGTGGATACAATCCAGTGCTGTTTACTCACTCACGAAACACATGAATGAAGATTTTTAGGTAAAAAAAAAGAACCAAAGAAAAGAATGACAGTCTGTTTTACCCCCCGGTGGAGGTTATTTTGTCTGGCCTTTTGTTGCCTCATGAGAGTCTTAACAAACTCCCAACCTGCATCAGTCATGTGTGTGTGTGTGTGTCACCTAACTTGATTGTCAAAGGCACGTCAGTGGTGGTTGAGTTGCCTTCGCGTAAAAGGTGCCATCACAGTTGGTTTGGTGCGTGACCTGATGAATACAATCCGTGTTTATCCACTAGGCAAGCAAATTCAGTCTGCCTAATGCATTCGCTATTCCTCACACAACATGTCGTCAGCATTTGCCTTACAGAGTGGGGCAAAAAAAAATAATAAAAAGCTTGACGCTGGGAGGAATGAGAGACAACCGCCTAAAAACAAGTATTTTGACCAACAAAATACACAATGTTGAATAAGCGAGTTTTGCGGTGTTCCGGTCTAGTGAATGACTGCAAGTCTTGGCAATTATGCAGAGTCATCGTGGCCAGGAAGGCAGAAATGTCACCATTGACTTCCCTTCCAACTTAATTACAAGCACTTCTGTCAAAGGACAAAGTGTGACTGCTTATGACATCGGCCGATTCGCTTTGTTGACAAAGCGAATCGACTATTAGCCATCAGTACTTCTCGTGCCACATGTGAATTGTTGATGAAGAGGCTGGGGAAAAAAAAAGAAGCTTACATTGTTTGAGATTTTCACGACCCTCTGAAAGCAGACCAATTGGAAGCATTCCATTGGGAGTGAGACCCTTCAACTCCAGCACACTTTCATTCTCCTCCCTAAAATGCAATTCACCTTGTAGAGGACTTGGAAATTGGGAAGCAGATAAACTTGACGCCTAGATTGCCATTTTAAATCGGTCTTCTTTTGCCCCTCCTGACAAGAGGTGTCCGTTAGAGTGGTTGCAACTTGACAAGCACTTTCTACTTGGACTGACAATGCTGACACTCAGCTGGCATATCGTGCCATCGAATTGTGGTCACATGGTTGTCACTTGTTACCTCTTTACCTGCATGTTGTCATCAAAACGGAGGAAAGTTGACGTGGTGATTAGGTGGAACTAAAAGTCAACTTGATGGGAAGGACCTTGAGAATGCTCAAATTTGCAGTGACTAACAGCACAGTTCCGTGGACTACTCACAGAGTTTCAATGACTCGTAGCAGTTTCACATCGGCACGACGCCTCATTGATGATGTTCATGTTGAAGGTTATTTGGACTTCCGAGCCTCCAACACACAAGTAGCCTCGGTGCACGGCTAGACGCTTCCCTGGCCTAGTTGAAGGGCTTATTCAATGCTGATATGCATTATCATGACTTCTTCCTTTTCTTTTTTTTCGCTTCTTAAACCCACCTCGCTGTCTCAAGATGGCACCATTATGAAAATGTTACTAACAGTGCCTAAAAGAATTGAAAATGTGGAACAAATTTTCCTGATTTTGACGCACGAGTGGCAATTGTTATAAAAAGGCAACTAAACTCCACTGAAGGGCAAAAAAAAGTTTGAAATGGACTGGTTCACCTTTGTCACACTAAAAGCTTTGACATCTTTTGTTTCTTCATAGGCAGACTTTAAATTTATTTTTTAAGTACTAAGTTAAACTTCTTTTCCTTTCTATTATTTGTTGTTCGAGAAAAAAAGAGGGCGTCAAAACCAAAATTTACCGTAGAAGAGTGAAGACACGAGCCATTTTACCAATTGCACGTATTTTTCCCTTAATAACGTCTTTGCGAACGTTCATGTTGTCTAGGAGAGAAGTAGACAAAGGTGGAGTAATGGATAAAACTCATCTATAGCAAAATTTTGTCTACTTTTACTTCTACCACTTTCATTTTCAGTGGGGAGGGCATCGGGGATTTTGAAGGCCGCACTAACCAATCAGATGTCAGACACCTCAGAATCGCCAGTACCGAGACAAAAATTACCCCTGGACTGTTCAAAGTTGGTTTCTGCCTCTCCACAGCAATAGTAGAGGGAGAACACAATGCTCCGCTTTACTTCCATACCCGGATACTCCTAACATTCTTCCATATTTGCTAACCACATCAGATAGGTGGGTCAGAGCCTTGTGAATGAAAGAGCCTCCCAGTCACGAGGCTCCTCGAGGACGATTTCCACAGTTCAATCAGGACAGGACAGCTAAACACAAGTGACCTACAATAACGGCCTTTCAGTGCCTCGGATCGTCTAACATAAATCCACTTCCATACACCTACAAAAAAAATGATATGCAAAACTCACTATCGTCTTCATTGTCTTCGGTGAAGAGTTCATCCGAGGAGCAAATATTCAATACACTGACAAGCATTTCGGTGACTACAAAAGGGTCAAAAAAAGAAAGAAAGAAAAACAAATCTCAACATATTCCATCACACTACTTCAATTCAGATGAATGAAGGAGTGAAAGTGCTTCATTTGGGTGAACGCACCCTTTTCACCAACAAAGGGAAGAGACCAAGTGAACACATCCATGAAGTTTGGAAGCCAGTAGGGATGCGGTGAGCAATTGAATTGACGAATGTTCATCACATTGTTCTCATACTTGAGAATGGCGGCTTTATGAAGGGAGAATGGAGGAGTAGTGGAGGTGCATTAAAATGGAACCTACCTTTGTTATTGTAAACGTCAAGGTAATTAGGCGCTGAAAATATTGTGATGAGAGCAGGAAAGCCGGTCTGTTGATTTTTGCGATACATTCGATAGCTGAAACAGAAGCAGAGGGGAACAGGAGATTGTTGTAAGGCATTGACCAACCTTATGCCAACCGCGCTATCAATTACAAGTAGCCCTAATGGGGTAATAACGTGCCTCCTTCCGCTCCCTTCCGAC